GGGTGTGACATGGTGAAGTATGTGTTTTGGTTTGTAGGTTTATGGGGTAATGTCTTGTCTAGGTGTTTGTATGTTGATGGCTGCCTAGATTGGTTCTCAATTGGAGACAGCTGTGGTTTATTGTCTCTAATTGGGAGCCATATTTAAGGCAGCCATGGGCATCATGGGTTTGTGGGTAATTGTCTATATTGAACGTTTGTTGCTTGTCTGTGCACTTACGTTATTTAGCTTCACGGTCGTTTGTTGTTTTGTAAGTTTTGGATAGTGTTCGGTTTCGTGTTTTTTCTCTCTTCCTAAATAAAGAGATGTATTTTGCACACGCTGCGCCTTGGTCTACTCACTCCTACGACGATCGTGACAGAATTACCCACCATACCAGGACCAAGCAGCGTGTCCAGGAGCCAAGGGTCTGGACATGGGAGGAGATTTTGGACGGTAAAGGGTCTTGGACTTGGGAGGAGATCCTGGATGGGATGGATCGCCGGCCATGGAGTGAAACAGTGGAGAGGCGACTGAGAGAGGAGCAACGGCGTCAGCAGGGCCATCGTCGGAAGGACGCGAGGCAACCCCAAAAAGTTTTTTTGGGGGGGCACATGGCTTGGGCGGCTGGGCAGCAGGAGGCTGCCACAGGGAGACGTGGAGAGAAGGCTACCGGATTACGGGAGCCATTGGCGAGTAGAGGGAGGGAAGTAGTGGAGGCACGGCGTGAGAGACTGAGGTGTGTTACCAGTCCGGACCGGCCCGTTCCTGATCCCCGGTTAAGGCCAGTGGTGTGTGTTCCCAGTACGGACCGGCCTGTTCCTACTCCACGCATCAAGCCCACGGTGTGCGTCGCCAGTCCAGCCCGGCCGGTTCCTGTTCCACGTAGAAAGCCTACGGTGTGCGTGGCCAGCCCAGCCCGACCTGTTCCTACTCCACGCATCAAGGCCACGGTGTGCGTCGCCAGTCCAGCCCGGCCGGTTCCTGTTCCACGTACTAAGCCTACGGTGTGCGTGGCCAGCCCAGCCCGACCTGTTCCTACTCCACGCATCAAGCCCACGGTGCGCGTCGCCAGCCCGACCCGGCCTGTTCCTGCCACTCGCACCAAACCTACGGTGCGCGTCGCCAGCCCGGTCCGGCCTGTTCCTGCCACCCGCACCAAGTCTACGGTGTGCGTTGCCAGCCCGACCCGGCCTGTTCCTGCCACTCGCACCAGACCTACGGTGCGCGTCGCCAGCCCGACCCGGCCTGTTCCTGCCACTCGCACCAAACCTACGGTGCGCGTCGCCAGCCCGGTCCGGCCTGTTCCTGCCACCCGCACCAAGTCTACGGTGTGCGTTGCCAGCCCGACCCGGCCTGTTCCTGCCACTCGCACCAGACCTACGGTGCGCGTCGCCAGCCCGGTCCGGCCTGTTCCTGCCATCCGCACCAAGTCTACGGTGTGCGTTGCCAGCCCGACCCGGCCTGTTCCTGCCACTCGCACCAGACCTACGGTGCGCGTCGCCAGCCCGACCCGGCCTGTTCCTGCCACTCGCACCAAACCTACGGTGCGCGTCGCCAGCCCGGTCCGGCCTGTTCCTGCCACCCGCACCAAGTCTACGGTGTGTGTTGCCAGCCCGACCCGGCCTGTTCCTGCCACTCGCACCAGACCTACGGTGCGCGTCGCCAGCCCGACCCGGCCTGTTCCTGCCACTCGCACCAAGCCTACGGTGCGCGTCGCCAGCCCGGTCCGGCCTGTTCCTGCCACTCGCACTAAGCCAGGGGTGCGTGTCGTCAGCCTGGTAAGGCCCGTTCCTCCTCCCCGCACTAGCCCTGAGATGCGTGTCCTCAGCCCGGGACCACCAGTTCCGGCACCACGCACTAGGCCTTATGTGCGTCCCCAGGGTCCAGCATGCCCTGTTCCTTCTCCCCGCACTAGACCTGAGATGCGTGTCCTCAGCCCGGTACCTCCAGTTCCGGCACCACGCACCAGGCCTATAGGGCGTCTCGGCCGGCCAGAGTCTGCCGTCTGCCTAATGGCGCCTGAACTGCCCGTCTGCCCAACGCCGTCTGAACTGTCCGTCTGCCAAGCGCTGCATGAACTGCCCGTCTGTACTGAGCCTGCTAAGCCGCCCGTCTGCCATGAGCCTTCAGAGCCGTCCGCCAGACCGGAGCCGCTAAAGCCTTCCGCCAGACAGGAGCCGCTAGAGCCTTCCGCCAGACAGGATCAGCCAGAGCCTTCCGCCAGACAGGATCAGCCAGAGCCTTCCGCCAGACAGGATCAGCCAGAGCCTTCCGCCAGACAGGATCAGCCAGAGCCTTCCGCCAGACAGGATCAGTCAGAGCCTTCCGCCAGACAGGATCAGCCAGAGCCTTCCGCCAGCCATGAGCAGCCAGATCCGTCAGCCAGCCATGAGCAGCCAGATCCGTCAGCCAGCCATGAGCAGCCAGATCCTTCAGCCAGCCATGAGCAGCCAGATCCGTCAGCCAGCCATGAGCAGCCAGATCCATCAGCCAGCCATGAGCAGCCAGATCCGTCAGCCAGCCATGAGCCGTCCAGCCAGGATCCGCCAGAGCCGTCCAGCCAGGATCCGCCAGCCAGCCAGGATCCGCCAGAGCCAATCAGCCAGGATCCGCCATTCAGTCCGGTGCTGCCCCTTAGTCCGGTGCTGCCCCTTAGCCTGGTGCTGCCCCTTAGTCCGGTGCTGCCCCTTATCCTGGTGCTGCTCCTTATCCTGGTGCTGCTCCTTATCCAGGTGCTGCCCCTTAGTCCGGTGCTGCCCCTTAATCCAGTGGGGTTAAGTTGGAGGGTGGTCATTTGGAGGAGGCTACGTAAGCGGGTAGTGACTATGGTGGGGTGGGGACCACGACCAGTGCCAGAGCCGCCACCGTGGACAGACGCCCACCCAGACCCTCCCCTAGACTTTATGCTGGTGCGCCCGGAGTTCGCACCTTAAGGGGGGGGTTATGTCACACCTTGGCCTTAGTTATCTTTGTTTTCATTCATATTTTAGTTAGGTCAGGGTGTGACATGGTGAAGTATGTGTTTTGGTTTGTCTAGGGGTTTGTAGGTTTATGGGGTAATGTCTTGTCTAGGTGTTTGTATGTTGATGGCTGCCTAGATTGGTTCTCAATTGGAGACAGCTGTGGTTTATTGTCTCTAATTGGGAGCCATATCTAAGGCAGCCATGGGCATCATGGGTTTGTGGGTAATTGTCTATATTGAACGTTTGTTGCTTGTCTGTGCACTTACGTTATTTAGCTTCACGGTCGTTTGTTGTTTTGTAAGTTTTGGATAGTGTTCGGTTTCGTGTTTTTTCTCTCTTCCTAAATAAAGAGATGTATTTTGCACACGCTGCGCCTTGGTCTACTCACTCCTACGACGATCGTGACATTAACTAAGGCTTTAAAGTAATAATTTGTTTAGTGCAAGACCATTGTGAAAGTCAGTATCTTGACTCTGCCCTCTCAAATACACGAATCCTAATGATCCTAGACAGGTGGCTAATGTACATGATGGACCAGCTTGTAAAAATGTTGGTTTCATATCACCCATCCTCTCAGGTGATAAAGTATATCTCCTTTATATGACTGGGGTAAGGGCACAGCTGTATAAAACAGCCTCTCTCGCTCACTCACTCACTCTCTCCTTCTCCACACTACTCCTAGTACATCATTAATAATAATAATTTGGTAGTGCTTATATCCACGTGTGAATTGGAAATGTGTTTTTTGCTTAACCTAACTCTCCCTGAGACACCCTCGGAGAGTGGGGTCTTGGCCAGGATCTGCCATTATCAACGGCGACCATCAACAGAGTTTTCACCTTGTCGGCTCGGGGATTTGAACTAGCGACCTTTCGGTTACTGGCCCAACGCTCAAACCGCTAGGCCACCTCTGTAATAATTAGGGATACTTTAAGGATTACGCTCCAATTTGTGCAATACAGTTTTACTATACGATACGGCTAATACCCATTGTTCTAGATACCGCTAAATGAATCTGAATAGGCTATACGGCTAATACCCATTGTTCTAGATACCGCTAAATGAATCTGAATAGGCTATACGGCTAATACCCATTGCTCTAGATACCGTTAAATGAATCTGAATAGGCTATACGGCTAATACCCATTGCTCTAGATACCGCTAAATGAATCTGAATAGGCTATACGGCTAATACCCATTGTTCTAGATACCGCTAAATGAATCTGAATAGGCTATACGGCTAATACCCATTGCTCTAGATACCGCTAAATGAATCTGAATAGGCTATATGGCTAATACCCATTGTTCTAGATACCACTAAATGAATCTGAATAGGCTATACGGCTAATACCCATTGTTCTAGATACCGCTAAATGAATCTGAATAGGCTATACGGCTAATACCCATTGTTCTAGATACCGCTAAATGAATCTGAATAGGCTATACGGCTAATACCCATTGCTCTAGATACCGCTAAATGAATCTGAATAGGCTATACGGCTAATACCCATTGCTCTAGATACCGCTAAATTAATCTGAATAGGCTATACGGCTAATACCCATTGCTCTAGATACCGCTAAATGAATCTGAATAGGCTATACGGCTAATACCCATTGCTCTAGATACCGCTAAATGAATCTGAATAGGCTATAAAAACAAAGTGGCTTGACCCTGTTGGATCCTCGTACCGAAGTGGCAGAGAGTCATCGTTTCTCCGCTTTAACGGTACAACAGGGGTGAAACCTTTTGGCAGCCCCTCTTCCGAATCACAAAGCCCTAAGGATAATGGCTTTGTAATGCAATGCATGACTTCATTCCATTTCAGTGTCCTCAAAAGAGTAAACATTGCAGTGATCTGAGGTGAAGGGATAGAGCTGGAAACCTTCCTCTGTGGCAAAGTAATCTTAAAGGGGCTATATCTAATACATGTGAATGGATGGTATGATATTAACTAAGGTAATATTATACAAGTATGAGAAAAAAAGCACTACACATCTTACACGTCTCCTCAGACTACTGCAGTGTCTACTCCTACATACTGCAAGCACAGCCACATGCCCACTGAGCCCCAGTCCACTGAGATGTCATGCTGCACAAAGCCATTGTCGTTAACCAGCGTAGGCCAGTAATGAAAACACTTAATCCCAGTCCTGCAGCTTCCTTCGGCACGATCTGTTCCACTTTTATGTTTTTACATAGATCATAACATTACTATCTCACCATGACAAAATGAAACAACTGCCACGCTGATATGCTCTCTTCAGGGATTTATCTGAGACGCACCTTGGTTGGGTGTTTTGTCTGTCCAAGGAGATGCCTTCTCTACCACCATCCCACCCTCCTCAGGACCATCAATGCTGGGAAGAGCATGCTGAATGAGGACCAAGCGTCCTGTGAACTGCTCTACGTGAAGAAGCTGAGCGACAAAAAAACAGCGCAACTCCACACTGCTGGACGACAATGGGGTGAGACTACTGGAATCATAGAATGTTGAGCATTAGTTCTAGTAATTATAGTTATATTAGTAAACGGCCCATAGACTAGGCCTACAGCACTACAATACGAGAAAGGGCAAAGCATACGCACATCCTGGTCCAATGTTTGTATTCTATGTACTACTGCCTCTATAGTGAAGGTTGGACCCTTGGTGACACATTACATTACAGCAAGGTTCACCCAGGTCTCTCTCTAATAAAACCATGTCTGTTCAAATGTCTCCAATCCAAACTTCGAAGCACCAGACGTCATTGGGTGCCTGGGGATTTGTTTTTTTCCTGACAAAGCAGACAATTTCCTTAAGACTGACCGTTGTACGCTGCTGTATTTAGAAACAGCTTTGTGTGGGTCCATAGAGCAGCTAACCGCCGCTAGCACATAACGTCAAAAACCCACTCACTAAGAGATGGCTCCATAATCTCGCAAATGTACAGTTGAAGTTGGAAGTTTACATACACTTAGGTTGGAGTCATTAAAACTTGTTTTTCAACCACTCCACAAATTTCTTGTTAACAAACTATAGTTTTGGCAAGTCGGTTAGGACATCTACTTTGTGCATGACACAAGTAATTTTTCCAACAATTCTTTACAGACAGATTATTTTACTTAGAATTCACTGTATCACAATTCCAGTGGGGCAGAAGTTTACATACACTAAGTTGACTGTGCCTTTAAAACAGCTTGGAAAATTCCAGAAAATGATGTCATAGCTTTAGAAGCTTCTGATAGGCTAAATGACATCATTTGAGTCAATTGGAGGTGTACCTGTGGATGTATTTCAAGGCCTACCTTCAAACTCAGTGCCTCTTTGCTTGACATCATGGGAAAATCAAAATAAATCAGCTATGACCTCAGAAAAAAATTGTAGACCTCCACAAGTCTGGTTCATCCTTGGGAGCAATTTCCAAATGCCTGAAAGTACAAACAATAGTACGCAAGTATAAACACCATGGGCCCACGCAGCCGTCATATCGCTCAGGAAGGAGACGCGTTCTGTCTCCTAGAGATGAACGTACTTTGGTGCGAAAAGTGCAAATCAATCCCAGAACAACAGCAAAGGACCTTGTGAAGATGCTGGAGGAAACAGGTACAAAAGTATCTATATCCACAGTAAAACGAGTCCTATATCGACATAACCTGAAAGGCCGCTCAGCAAGGAAGAAGCCACTGCTCCAAAACCGCCATAAAAAAGCCAGACTACGGTTTGCAACTGCACCTGTGGACAAAGATCGTACTTTTTGGAGAAATGTCCTCTGGTCTGATGAAACAAAAATATAACTGTTTGGCCATAATGACCATCGTTATGTTTGGAGGAAAAAGGGGAATGCTTGCAAGCCGAAGAACACCATCCCAACCGTGAAGCACGGGGTGGCAGCATCATGCTGTGGGGGTGCTTTGCTGCAGGAGGGTTGGTGCACTTCACAAAATAGATGGCATCATGAGGAAGAAAAATGATGTGGATATATTGAAGCAACATCTCAAGACATCAGTCAGGAAGTTAAAGCTTGGTCGCAAATGGGTCTTCCAAATGGACAATGACCCCAAGCATACTTCCAAAGTTGTGGCAAAATGGCTTAAGGACAACAAAGTCAAGGTATTGGAGTGGCCATCACAAAGCCCTGACCTCGATCCTATAGAACATTTGTGGGCAGAACTGAAAAAGCATGTGCGAGCAAGGAGGCCTACAAACCTGACTCCGTTACACCAGCTCTGTCAGGAGGAATGGGCCAAAATTCACCCAACTTATTGTGGGAAGCTTATGGAAGGCTACCCGAAACGTTTGACCCAAGTTAAACAATTTAAAGGCAATGCTACCAGATACTAATTGAGTGTATGTAAACTTCTGACCCATTGGGAATGTGATGAAAGAAATAAAAGCTGAAATAAATCATTCTCTCTACTATTATTCTGACATTTCACATTCTTAAAATAAAGTGGTGATCCTAACTGACCTAAAACAGGACATTTTTACTAGGATTAAATGTCAGGAATTGTGAAAAACTGAATTTAAATGTATTTGGCTAAGGTGTATGTAAACTTCCGACTTCAACTGTATTTACACAGCAGAGTCTATAGCAGTCGATACAGTGCTGTTCAAGGGTCTGTGTCATGTCGGGTCAATCCCTCCCGTCCTTCTGCTGGCCTCCCAACCCCATCCCCTCCTCTATTCTCTGTGTTCACCCTCTGTCCCTCCCGTTAATTAATTACATATTTGCTTCGTGTGCCCCTCCTCCACTCTAGTCCAGTAAGAGGTAAACAGAGTTCCCATACTGCTGTCCATTCTGTGCATTGGGCTCTTAGATATGCCCTAACCGTCTGACCATACACTACTACACTATACTAAACATTATTACTTCATAAGAAGACGGTGAGAAGTAAGGTTTGGTGGAAATCTAGTTAGTGGGATTTACCGGCATAATTAAATCCTTTGGAAGGGAATGAAATCAAGTGGGATCTTCACTGTCTTAATCCAACTTTAGGATGTTTCTCTGTGGCACAGTAACTGCTGGCATTGAGCACATATTTACAATGATGTCATAAAGTTAGAATTATTCCCATCCATTCTCTGACAGAAATGTCCATGCTGGGAATCCTTTAGGCATTCACTGAGCTTGTAATTCTCATTGAGATAAAATCTTGCGAGAGACCTGCTAGAGAGACCCATGTGGCCAGTGTTATATATCAGGCTATTTATCTCCTTTCTTACTGTCAGCCTAATTGTATTGATATATCTAAATGCATGTTTGATATGATCTTGATGTGACTTAAACCTTTTCCAGGATGGCACAGGAATCCCTCTGCAGTATTGGGGCATGTTCGACGGCCACGCCGGCTCAGGGTGTGCCATCATGGCATCCAAACTCCTCCATGGCCTCATCAGAGACAGACTGGGAGACATTGCCCACCTGTTGGAGAACCCCACTGCGGCGCCCCCTATCTGCCTGGCCAAGAATGGCAGCCCCTAGCAGGTTGCATTGAAGAAGGGGGCGAATCCCACCCTGGACCCAGAGGACCCTGACGCCATCACTGATCCCTCTACCTGCTTCCACATGGAGAAGGCTGTCAGTCTGGAGAGTCTGATCATGGGTGTCATAGAAAACACCTTCAAACAGATGGTAAGACACAGGCACGCTCACAGCATATCACCTTATTTTGTGAAATAGCGTTCTACTAGTCTCGTGAGACCATCCTTCCAAATCTCCTCTCAGCAAAGCCTCGGCATCTGAGGCTTTTACCACCTTAGGATGAGAGAGGGGATACAGTAGCTATTGAGCAAAATGGGTTTCCCAGAATCAAATGCAATGATTATTTTTCTTTAGGCAGTCTTTATCTCTCAATGTACTCTAATATTTCATGTTAAGTATAACCTCTTTAATGCAATAAGTGCTGCTGACTTTATTCTGCAACCCAATGAATGAATGAATGAATAAGCTTTTGCTTTTGTTTTCGGTTCCTGTTCTGTTGATTACAGGATGAACTGATAGAGAAAGAGAAGATGTCCTATACCATTTCTGGTGGCTGTTGTGCCTTGGCTGCCATTCATTTGATGGGGAAGCTCTACGTTGCCAATGCAGGAGACAGTAGGTAGGTCAACAGGTCCAACAGATAGCAGCAGGATTGATTAATGCCCTAGCCTAATGGCTAATGACTGTTGTATTACAGGCCTACTTGTTGTACACATTCAACTCAATGTATTTGATTTCAGTCATTCAATGCAGAGTTGAGGTTAAAGGAAGTGACACCATGATGCCCAAAGCCATTGATTCCAATAAGTTTCCTTTGGTCATTCTCATAATAATGTCACACAGCAGTTCTTTTGACCTCTGTTGGCCACTCTTTGTACTGCAACATAATTCTTCATGAACTGTAAGCTCCTGGTAGAACTTGCCCAGAGGCACAGATCTAGGATCAGTATACTGCTTGTCAATCTTAGTCTAGACCTACCTTAGATCAGCGTCTAGGGGCAATAATCATCCTGTAACATCCCTGGACTTCGTGCTGTGTCTTCCCTCTTAACACCACATTATCTGTCCTGAGTGTCCTCCTAATATGGGGTCACATTATGGCGTCTGTCTTTGTCTTCATACAGTATGTCGTTGTCCCTCCCATTGAAATAGAATCACTACTCATTCTACTTTGGTTCTTCCTCTGTCTCTACAGAGCCATCATCATCCGTAACCGTGAAGTCATCGCCATGTCTAACGAGTTCACACCAGAGTCTGAGAGGCAGTGCCTGCAGTATCTGGTGAGGTCTGGGTTAATTCATGTATTTATGTATTCCTTATTTAAAAGGGAGATTCACTCATAAATTAAAGTTTGTCAGATGTTTTCAGACTTTAGAGGAAGGCCCTCAAAATTGTCAAAGACTCCAGCCACCCTAGTCATAGACTGTTCTCTCTGCTACCGCACGGCAAGCGGTACCGGAGTGCCAAGTCTAGGTCCAAAAGACTTCTCAACAGCTTCTACCCCCAAGCCATAAGACTCCTGAACAGCTAATCATGGCTACCCGGACTATTTGCACTGCCCCCCCACCCCATCCTTTTTACGCTGCTGCTACTCTGTTAATTATTTATGCATAGTCACTTTAACTCTACCCACATGTACATATTACCTCAACTACCTCAACTAGCCGGTGCCCCCGCACATTGACTCTGCAACGGTACCCCCCTGTATATATAGCCTCCCTACTGTTACTTTATTTTACTTCTGCTCTTTTTTTTCTCAACACCTTTTTTTGTTGTTGTTTTATTTTTCCTTTTTTTGTTAAAAATAAATGCACTGTTGGTTAAGGGCTGTAAGTAAGCATTTCACTGTAATGTCTGCACCTGTTGTATTCGGCGCATGTGACCAATAAAATTTGATTTGATTTGAAAACATCTGAGAAATCTTGATTTTAAAGTGTAATGCCCCTTTAACCAGGTGAGTCCCATCACCACGGGATATGAATTGCTTTTCCAAGGGTGCCCTGGCCACGAGGAAGGTGCAGGGGAGAGGGAGGGTGATGTTATTTAATGTCTGATTCAGACTACATCTATATTAATTGTCTGCTTGGTCTAAGTTAAGCTGGAGTGGGTGGCTGTGTTGGAGAGTGGTGGAACCTCCAGGGAGAGGGATGAATAGTACTGTTGATTGTGCATCACAGCTATATAATGTTCCGCCCTCACTTTTCTTACTGCCATGACACTTACTTGACAATATGTTTATCAGGGTTGGGGTAAATTCCATTTCAATTCCAGACAATTCAGGAAGTACACTGAACTTCTTGAAAGAATAGAATCAGTAATCCCTAACCCGTAATCCTATTGTATTTTTGCAGGGCTTACAAGACCATCGTAGAAGACGACCTCAAGTTCCCACTCATATATGGAGAGGGCAAAAAGGTGAAACACTTCGTCATGTTTATGGACGTTGGGTCCTGGTGGACATCATAACAGAACAGCACAGTAGATGTATGGTGCTGTAAGGTCTACCATGGGTAGGTCCACAGTAGATGTATGGTGCTGTAAGGTCTACCGTGGGTAGGACCACATTTTTCCTGACCACCTGACCAGGTAAAACCCTGCCCAAGACATGGGACATTGGATTGGCTATACAGTAAAGTATATCTGGGTCTTCAAACCACATGTAGAGTTGCTGTTATCCTCCCACCCTCGTCATGTTTCCCTGACAGGAAGAATGCTTAGCTGCTTAGCTTAGTTGTTCCCCACTATGAAATCAGGGAGGGAACTGTGGATCTGTCTCCGTCCGTTCGTACTTTAGTCACACGCGATGTCTCAGACAGCACTGGCCTGATTTTGACTAAACTTGGGCTTCTTGCCATAGAGATCTGGCATTTACAAAATTACACTGATTGGCCCCAAGGCGGGAGCTAAAGTAATGAACAGAAATGTGTTAGTCACACGCAATATCTCATTTGGCCCAAGGGGGGTTGCCTTGTTTACGCTGCAGGACAGTTCACCTGCAGTACAGACATAGCAAGATATAACTTTTAGTTGTTCGTTCCACTGTATGTGTGGGAGGATTTCATGGTTGTTACTGAACTCTCCCAGTCTTTACCTGTGTGGTTGTTACTGAACTCTCCCAGTCTTTAGCTGTGTGGTTAAAGATAAATGCTCCTGAGTCACATTTTTCTCAAATCTAAGCATATCCACAGGCACTAACCCACATTTTGTGTTTGTGTGTGTGTGTGTGTGTGTGTGTGTGTGTGTAGACCCGTGTCATGGCCACCATTGGGGTAACACGTGGCTTAGGGGATCATGACCTGAAGGTGTAGAACTCCAACATCTACATCAAGCCCTTTCTCTCCTGCTGCCCAGAGGTGAATGAGAGATGTCATGCTGTTTGTGTCTAGAACCATGTATCGCCCACCATCTGCCAGATCAAGGCTTGTCTAGAAGCATCCCAGTGTGTTCCGAATCTTGGACGACATCTAATGACATACGTTTACTTTATTTTGGCTCATCAATGTATATATTGTCGAAGGTATCTGATCCAAATTCATTGCTAGATGATTTATCCTATTATTATAGCCATGTTTAATACTCTGCATACACTCCTTCCCTCCCTTATCTCCTACAGGTGATAGTGTACGACATGTCTGAGTACAAGCATGGCCCTGATGACGTGCTGGTGATGGGTACAGATGGGCTGTGGGACGTGACCACGGACAGGGAGGTAGCAGACGCAGTTTCAGGCTTCCTGTCCTGCTGCGAGCCCACTGATCCTGTGAGGTACTGTACTGTAATCTCTAGTCTATAATCTACACAGTATAAAGTCCTGTAGCCAAATATTAGACCTCTGATTAATTATTGAATGAATTAATAAGATGAGGTCTAAGGGCATTCCATAGCGACTGCGTTCGAGATAACTCATGGGTCAAAGTCTGTGCCTGCTAGCAGCATGTGTCCCACGTCCACAGCTACATCCAGAATCGGTAGACAGTTCTGATTGAAGAATCGCTGTTTGTGTTGCCGAGCAGTGAACAAGAAACGATTAAATCCCGTTTTTAGATGCTACCCACCCAAATACAAATCTAATATGGATGCCAATGTTTTGTTTTCACTTTACGTGCACACTTGCCTGTGGTTCCCACCTGTCTGTGGTTCCCACCAGTCTGTACCTGTCTGTGGTTCACACCTGTCTGTTGTCAGCTAATGAGTCCCACAAAACAGGCAGGTGCTGCCCCAGATGGGTAGTAAAGGAAACACGCAAAGCTATAACAAAACATTGCTGCACTGCATTTGTAAGATAAATATTAATATCCTTGCAATATACTTCACTTTTGAGAGGCATTGAACTATGCACTGATTCAGAGATGTCTGAAGGACAACAGGGAAAGCAGGCAATAACAGAGTCAAAGAATGGCAGGGCAAAGGGGCATTCAATTAAGAATATGCCGCGGCTATAGGTCTATAGAGGTCAGCTAAAACTTGAAAATGAGTACTGAGTCATATCTGGACTAGGCCAACATAATGGATGGACCACATTCAGAAACTAACCAAACGCAGAGACACATACAGTGAGGGAAAAAAGTATTTGATCCCCTGCTGATTTTGTACGTTTGCCCACTGACAAAGACATGATATGTCTATAATTTTAATGGTAGGTTTATTTGAACAGTGAGAGACAGAATAACAACAACAAAAATCCAGAAAAACGCATGTCAAAAATGTTGTAAATTGATTTGCATTTTACTGAGGGAAATAAGTATTTGACCCCTCTGCAAAACATGACTTAGTACTTGGTGGCAAATCCCTTGTTGGCAATCACAGAGGTCAGACGTTTCTTGTAGTTGGCCACCAGGTTTGCACACATCTCAGGAGGGATTTTGTTCCACTCTTCTTTGCAGATCTTCTCCAAGTCATTAAAGTTTTGAGGCTGACGTTTGGCAACTCGAACCTTCAGCTCCCTCCACAGATTTTCTATGGGATTAAGGTCTGGAGACTGGCTAGGCCACTCCAGGACCTTAATGTGCTTCTTCTTGAGCCACTCCTTTGTTACCTTGGCCGTGTGTTTTGGGTCATTGTCATGCTGGAATACCCATCCACGACCCGTTTTCAATGCCCTGGCTGTGGGAAGGAGGTTCTCACCCAAGATTTGACGGTACATGTACATTTGAGTCCATCGTCCCTTTGATGCGGTGAAGTTGTCGTGTCCCTTTAGCAGAAAAACACCCCCAAAGCATAATGTTTCCACCTCCATGTTTGACGGTGTGGATGGTGTTCTTGGGGTCATAGGTAGCATTCCTCCTCCTCCAAACACGGCCAGTTCTCCTCTGAATCATTCAGATGTTATTTGGCAAACTTCAGACGGCCCTGTATATGTTCTTTCTTGAGCAGGGGGACCTTGCGGGCGCTGCAGGATTTCAGTCCTTCACGGCGTAGTGTGTTACCAATTGTTTTCTTGGTGACTATGGTCCCAGCTGCCTTGAGATCATTGACAAGATCCTCCCGTGTAGTTCTGGGCTGATTCCTCACCATTCTCATGATCATTGCAACTCCACAAGGTGAGATCTTGCATGGAGCCCCAGGCCGAGGGAGATTGACAGTTATTTTGTGTTTCATCCATTTGCGAATAATCGCACCAACTGTTGTCACCTTCTCACCAAGCTGCTTGGCGATGGTCTTGTAGCCCATTCCAGCCTTGTGTAGGTCTACAATCTTGTCCCTGACATCCTTGGAGAGCTCTTTGGTCTTGGCCATGGTGGAGAGTTTGGAATCTGAGGACAGGTGTCTTTTATACAGGTAACAAACTGAGATTAGGAGCACTCCCTAATCTCAGCTCGTTACCTGTACAAAAGACACCTGGGAGCCAGAAAAAACCTTTCTGATTGAGAGGGGGTCAAATACTTATTTCCTTCATTAAAATGCAAATCAATTTATAACATTTTTACATGTGTTTTTCTGGATTATTTTGTTGTTATTCTGTATCTCACTGTTCAAATAAACCTACCATTATAATTATAGACTGATCATTTCTTTGTCAGTGGGCAAACATACAAAATCAGCAGGGGATCAAATACTTTTTTCCCTCACTGTATAACAACATGCTTGGTAGGCATAACTAAATAAATAGCTTGACATAAATATGGCAACGCCTTATTCATAAACCATAATCTAATAAACCATTGCGGTAGGACGAGACAATACCAGGACACATGGTCATATAGGTAAGAGCCACACATGAAGTTCAGCAGTAGCATAAATATGTAAGCATAGTCAACATTGTACGAATAATACTCACGACTCAAACTATGAATAGGCCATCTCTACAACTTCCATTACCAGATGCACATTTCCCTCTCTTTTTCTGTAAACTCACCGGACGCCCAAGGCGACGGAGCCAGGGAGGTGATTGTCCAACATACCAGAGGCAGAGAATGGCTGGTTGCCTTGTCATGGAAGGATGTGATTCATATCAGGGGAATACATTGTGAGAGGGCTTATACTATTACAGTTGCTACCAATTAACACAGAGTAGATATCACAGGAGGTTGGTGGCACCTTAATTGGGGAGGATGGGCTCATGGTAATGGCTGGAGCAGAATAAGTGGAATGGTATCAAATACATCAAACACATAGTTTCCATATGTTTGATGTCATTCCATTTGCTCCGTTCCAGCCATTATTATGAGCCATCCTCCTCTCAGCAGCCTCCACTATTAGATATTGAATAGCAGGGACGGCCTGTTCAATAGGGCGATATGGGCGACGCACTGCCAAACGGGAAAAGGAAGGGATTTTTTTTCTAATCAATAATATCACGGCAACAGTAGTTATCAGTGTTCACGTCTGATCTGCCAGCCACTAAATGTCAAATCAGGCTAAAGTCGTGCTTCAAATGGCCCCGCCCGTTTTTGGGGCGATTTCAGTCAAGTTGAAAATCGCCCAGAAGTCTCTCATAGCCTGTCATGTAAAATCTATTTTTTTCAAATTTCAAAGCTTTCAATACATTCTCTATGGGTGTCTGTGGGCTTGCACTTACGCGCTTTCGTCATACGTGACGTAACCATGAACGTAACTAAGACAATAGCGGCTAGCAGCGTCTCTGTTGCGACCTGCAGTGTGGCGTTATTTTATGTTTTTAATTTGTAGACTTAGTTTACAAACATTCTGCCAACCATGGATTTCCAGTGGTTGGTCTTGGACTGATCTTGTTGATCGTGTACATACCCGCTACGAACGGACTAAATAATGAAAACGCTGCTGGCAGCGGAATCCAATACAGCAGGGAGTTTTTTACTACAATGCAACTCAAATACGAACGCGATGGATATCCCAATGGCCCATCTAATACCTGATTGTCTGCGAGTGGATTACAAACCCAAATGCAAACGTGGAAAACGCGGGGGAATCAGACAACGACTTTTAAAAAATTAAGAACAAAGTTCCCTTACCCACCACCTTGCTGATTAATGCCCAGTCACAGAGGGGGAAAGCGGATGAGTTGTCAGCGAATCTGCGCTTCCAACACGAATATCGGGAGGCCTGTTTGCTGGCATTTACTGAGACTTGGCTGGATGACAGAGTCCCGGACAGAGAAGTGGAGCCGGCCGGCTTCACCCTGGTCAGAGCGGACCGCGATCCTGGTAAGAGAGCGACTCTGTACCCCGACATTGAACTGCTTTCTGTGTCATTGCGACCTTACTATCTGCCCCGTGAGTTCCCCCAATTGTTTGTTACCGTTGTGTACTGTTGATAATCACAAGTTTACTGGAGAACTGAGACCAAGTAGAGACTTTGGACAGGGTGGATAATGGTATAATATAAGGCAGTTTATTCAGAGGTAAAGATATCTGGAATCGCGTGCACGGACCCGTTCGTCAATCTCGTAGGGAGATATCTGAAGAGAGAGCCCCGAAACATTGTGTGCTGACATTTTATACAATAAAATGAAGTAGGTTGAATCTAGTAGTTCTGATCTTCTGATTGGTCCTGATGAGTTGGGCGAGGTCCCCTCCGGGTTAGTATCACTGTTGCATTGGCTCTGAGTCGGGTTCTCTGTCTTCAGATGTTCAGCCTAAGAGAAGGGGATTTTTGTGTGTGTGTGTGTGTGTGTGTGTGTGTTTAACAGTGATGATGTGTGTGTGTGTGTGTGTGTGTGTGTGTGTGTGTGTGTGTGTGTGTTATCAGTGATGATGTGTGTGTGTGTGTGTGTGTGTGTGTGTGTGTGTGTGTTTATCAGTGATGATGTGTGTGTGTGTGTGTGTGTGTGTGTGTGTGTGGGTGTGTGTGTGTGTGTCCTCAGAGCAAGAACTCGTGAGTTGGAAGAACTGAGAGACCTATGGCGTGGGTGTTGTCCTTAGCCACCTGCTGACAAGGCTGACAAGATAGGACTCTTTTGTCCATTGTATTGAATACAAAGGCCCAACACAAAATGGGTCATGCACAAGATTTTAGTCAGACCAAGCTATAACATTATATATTTACTACGACAGTACATTCAACCAAAAGCTAATATAACAAAGGCATCAGAGATTATTTATAATCTGTCACAGAAACTGGAATCCATCTCCCCAGATCAGTCAATAAATGCTTCTGGTATTGACTTATATGCTGCCCCTGTCTTCATGTTGTTGCTGGACATATCTTTTTTAAAATTTGTGTAGGTCACCTAAATCATCAGAAAAATTGCCCCTCCTGAGAATTTGTTCAGGAGCCGCCACTGTTGAATAGTCAGGTGGCCTTGAAAGAAACTACTGAATATTGGTTAGTAAAGGAGGAGTAATTAAACAATATCTCCACTAGAGGTCAGTATCTAGCCTGTACAAATGACTACGGTACTTTTGAAATGGCAATACCATTTGGACAAACACCTTCACATAACACATATTTGGGATGCAGTACATTTCAAATTCAATTCATGAACATAAAAAAAAAAATACACATTTGAAATAAATTGCACTCATCCAGATACACACTGGCCGCCCAGGACCTGTTGATGCGGTCGCGAGGGGTCCTGAAGGAGAGGGGCTGGTGGTTACCCAATGAGAGGCTGGGTTCAGGAGACGACATCACTTGTTATGTGATCCCCTTGGCGGGACCGGCCAGTGTCACTCCGTCCCTCCTACCCTACCCTGGGGGAGGGGCAAAGAAAACACCTCCCTTATAGGGAAGCCTCAGGTTGGAGAGCCTGCCGCTAAACACCTGTTGACAGGCCCATTTTCCCTGGCTTCTACAACAACACACTCTCCTTATTGTTAATGTTTGGTACTCCTGTAACCGGTGTTCAGTGACATTACCTATTACCTGACCGACCGACACATGTCCATTTCTGAAACCTGCCCCTGTAGTTTCACATTTTAATCTCTCTAACTGAATGGCTGATAATTTCAGCAGGGTTGGTTTGCCCATCATCTCAGTGCTTGGTTCGCCCTTCTGTATAAAACCTCCTTATCACCTTATGACCCCCACATGTGATTTATGTCATGCTAAATTGCTAAAATAATCTAATTTATGGCTTGTGTAGAGTACAGTATGACAGGTGGAGGTAGATGGCCATGCACATTGTTTAACGCAGATAGCGCGACTCTGATATCAGTTGAAGAGTGAAGCCACTTCTCAGAAGACAGTGGAGCTCTGTGAGAAAATAACTATATACAGTGGGGTAAAAAAGTATTTAGTCAGCCACCAATTGTGCAAGTTCTCCCACTTAAAAAGATGAGAGAGGCCTGTAATTTTCATCATAGGTACACGTCAACTATGACAGACAAAATGAGAAAAGAAATTCCAGAAAATCACATTGTAGGATTTTTAATGAATTTATTTGCTAATTATGGTGGAAAATAAGTATTTGGTCAATAACAAAAGTTTCTCAATACTTTGTTATATACCCTTTGTTGGCAATGACACAGGTCAAACGTTTTCTGTAAGTCTTCACAAGGTTTTCACACACTGTTGCTGGTATTTTGGCCCATTCCTCCATGCAGATCTCCTCTAGAGCAGTCACTCCCGAGTGGCGCAGTGGTCTAAGGCACTGCATTGCAGTGCTAGCTGTGCCACCAGAGATCCTGGTTCGAATCCAGGCTCTGTCGTAGCCGGCCGCGACCGGGAGACCCATGGGGCGGCGCGCACAATTGGCCCAGCGTCGTCCAGGGTAGGGGAGGGAATGGCCGGCAGGGGATGTAGCTCAGTTGGTAGAGCATGGCGTTTGCAACGCCAGGGTTGTGGGTTCGATCAAATAATGTATGCACTAACTGTAAGTCGCTCTGGATAAGAGCGTCTGCTAAATGACTAAAATGTAAATGTATGTTTTGGGGCTGTCGCTGGGCAACACGGACTTTCAACTCCCTCCAAAGATTTTCTATGGGGTTGAGATCTGGAGACTGGCTAGGCCACTCCAGGACCTTGAAATGCTTCTTACGAAGCCACGCCTTCGTTGCCCGGGCGGTGTGTTTGGGATCATTGTCATGCTGAAAGACCCAGCCACGTTTCATCTTCAATGCCCTTGCTGATGGAAGGAGGTTTTCACTCAAAATCTCACGATACATGGCCCCATTCATTCTTTCCTTTACACGGATCAGTCGTCCTGGTCCCTTTGCAGAAAAACAGCCCCAAAGCATGATGTTTCCACCCCCATGCTTCACAGTAGGTATGGTGTTCTTTGGATGCAACTCGGCATTCTTTGTCCTCCAAACACGACGAGTTGAGTTTTTACCAAAAAGTTCTATTTTGGTTTCATCTGACCATATGACATTCTCCCAATCCTCTTCTGGATCATCCAAATGCACCCTAGCAAACTTCACTGCAGGATTTGAGTCCCTGGCGGCGTAGTGTGTTACTGAGGGTAGGCTTTGTTACTTTGGTCCCAGCTCTCTGCAGGTCATTCACTAGGTCCCGCCGTGTGGTTCTGGGATTTTTGCTCACCGTTCTTGTGATCATTTTGACCCCACGGGGTGAGATCTTGCATGGAGCCCCAGATCGAGGGAGATTATCAGTGGTCTTGTATGTCTTCCATTTCCTAATAATTGCTCCCACAGTTGATTTCTTCAAATCAAGCTGCTTACCAATTGCAGATTCAGTCTTCTCAGCCTGGTGCAGGTCTACAATTTTGTTTCTGGTGTCCTTTGACAGCTCTTTGGTCTTGGCCATAGTGGAGTTTGGAGTGTGACTGTTTGAGGTTGTGGACAGGTGTCTTTTATGCTGATAACAAGTTCAAACAGGTGCCATTAATACAGGTAACGAGTGGAGGACAGAGGAGCCTCTTAAAGAAGAAGTTACAGGTCTGTGAGAGCCAGAAATCTTGCTTGTTTGTAGGTGACCAAATACTTATTTTCCACCATAATTTGCAAATAAATTCATAAAAAATCCTACAATGTGATTTTCTGGAAAGAAAATTCTAAATTTGTCTGTCATAGTTGACGTGTACCTATGATGAAAATTACAGGCCTCTCTCATCTTTTTAAGTGGGAGAACTTGCACAATTGGTGGCTGACTAAATACTTTTTTCCCCCACTGTAAATGAGTACATTTGTGATGAGATTGAGTAGCGGTTGACATTGTATATGACATTCCACAGACCTCTAAACCTTATATTGTGGCAATAATTAATGGCTGGGGTAATTTTGGGATTGTTTTTGCTGTTCTCCAAATAGCATTTTTGTAAAAATGCTGTAAATTCTTCAACTTCCAAACAATTCCTTGGAGGAGAATTTTGCCATGCCCTAGGTTTAGCTGAACTGACGCCACTGGACTAAAGTTAGTCAATCGACAAGTTTCTTATTTTCTTTAGGTTTAATCTATTCCTTGGTATTCTAAAGTGACTCCGAGTAATTTTTATTACCGCCCTGTACCGTTTCAATGTAACTGATTTCGGGGAGGTGACTGTGGATCTGTCTCGGTCCATTTCTACGTTTGTACGTTAGTCACACGCGATTTCTCAGACAGCACTGGTCTGATTTTGATGAAATTTGGGTGAATGATGAGTCTTGCCATAGAGATCCGGCATTTACTAAATTACACTGATTGGCCTAAGGCGGGAGCTATAGGAATTAACATGTCTTAGTCACACGCAATATCTCAATTGGCCCAAGGGGGGCGATGCATCATTCATGGGGTACAACATACTGCACTGACAAGTCGTATATCGATTGCTGTTCAGTTGAAAGGTTTTCAATAGGCCAAACTATTTTTTTAAAGCGGTCAACTTAAAACACGTAGGCCCTGTCGAGCTTCTTTGGCTTAGGAATTGAAATAATGTAGCCTAAACTCAAGCGAGGGCGTTGTTTGAGTTTCAGCCAGTTTCAGCCTGATTATGTGGATTTCCACATAATAAAAGTGCCAGAAAACAATACAGTAATTTGCTGGTGGTCTGAAAAGCCTACTAGCCTACTCATTTGTGAACAGACATTGTTCAACTTTAAGTTGAATAGTTAAAACAAATCCCCAACTTTAAAAAAATAATCTGTCATGGTGAAGGGCTAAGGGCTGTTCTGTGATTTGGAAAGGAATGTAGGCGGTGTGCCTGTGCCCCTTACTGAAGAGAGTTGTAATGGAAAGCTTGCAGAGCCGACCTGTCAGCCATCCGGTCCTGTTAGGGCTGCTTTGCCTGAGTTGTTGAGTAAAAGTGACATTGAGTCATGAAGAGTCTGGTCTCTGCAACACAAGCTCTGACGAAAACACCATACCTCGCCATAACTGCAGCAACAGAGATGTGGCATGTCTGGACGTTTTAATTATGGCATGTGGTGCCGTCTGTAGATTATGGAGTGTGTTGCCGTTTATTTTTTGCCATATGTTAGCTGTCATTCAAACTGGGCAAAAGTGAAACGGAAACTAACCTTGATGGTTAAGTTTAGGTATTAATTCAGAGTGGTTAAAGTAACAGAAACAGAAATTACAAAACAAGTGCCTAGCACTGGGATTGAACCTGCGATCCTCAGAGCCGTAGCTTGCGATTTAACCCCAACCCCAATGCCCTAGCTCAGGGGTGTCAAACGTACGGCCCGCGGGCCGGATCAGGCCCGCAAACGGGTTTAATCCGGCCCACGAGATGATAAAAAAAAAAGAATAATAAATAAAATAAAAATTGTAAAGTATAAAAATGCGCTGCAATTTTTCAATAAAATAAGCTGCTGTTCCAATTGCGTCCACTGGATGGCGCAATAGCAATTGTGTTAAGCAAGCAAACTGTTTATACCGGGGCAGAGCAAGTAGGTCAAGCACGTGCAGCCAATGAGCTACTTTGCTTTGCCCGCGATATTTATTACGGCTTCTACTTTTAACATTATGTGCTTTGGCACCCTCATTGCCCCAATATGTCGCTGTCAAAAAAGAGAAAAGTGGACGCAGAGTGCAGAGTGTTCCAAGAAAAATGGTCATCCTATTTAATCACGGAATTGAATGGGAAAGCTGTATGTTTGGTGTGTTCAGAGCATGTTGCAGTGCTGAAAGAATATAACCTTCGTCGCCACTATGTGAGTCTTCATGCCGACAAATATGACAACTTTCAAGGACAACGGAGATGAGAGAAGGTGAATGAACTGTTGGCGGGTCTGAAGAAACAGCAGTCTGTGTTTACTCACAGCCGAGACATCAGTGACGCTGCAGTGAAAGCTAGCTACCTCATTGCTAATGAAATCGCAGTGGCTTCAAAACCATTTAGTGAGGGTGAATTTGTAAAAACATGCATGATGAAGGCAGCGGAGATTGTGTGCCCTGAAAAGCACCAGGCTTTTGCAAATATCAGCCTGACAAGAAACACAGTTGCAGACAGGATTTCCGATCTTTCAGTGGATTTGGACAGCCAGTTGAAGCAAAAAGTAAAGTCATTTGATGAATTGATGAAAGCACGGACATTACAGATGTTGCACAACTGGCCATTTTTTCATCCGCGGAGTTGATGACACATTGACCGTCACCGAGGAGTTCGTGGAGTTGGTGCCGATGACAGATACAACGACAGCAGCTGATATTTTTACCGCACTCGTCGGCGCGCTGGACAGGGTCGGAGTGGACTGGTCCCGCGCTGTCAGCCTGGCTACAGATGGTGCGCCCTCAATGATCGGGAAAAAAGCAGGCGTTGTGACAAAGTTCAGAGAGAAAGTGCAATCTGCAAATGGAGGACGTGATTTTTTGACTTTTCACTGTATTTTGCACCAGGAGGCTTTGTGT